GGGGCCCGGGTCTCCGGGGTTCTGTCCTCCTTCCACCGGAAGCCCGGCCCCACCCTGAAGACCAATCTCTTCTAGCCGCTGGACTCGGGAGGCTCCGGGCCGGGCCCCAGAGACGCCCCAGCCCCTCCAAGACCTGACAGAGCCCCTCCCCACCCCGGCCGCCTGCCTGGAAGTCCCCACCTCCCGCTGTGTCTGACCCCTAGGAGCCCCCTCCCTAGTTCTGGAGACAAAGTCAGAGCCACTCCTGTCCTCACCCACCCCCACCCGGCAGAGCGGGGTACTTTCCCCTGGGACCCCCTACCCCCTAGGAGAGCCCAGAGGCGCATCTAGCTTGGCTTTCTTTGGAACCGGGATCGAATAACTGCCGGTCCCCAACAGGGTTCCAACGTGAGGGTCCTCCGGGAGGACAGCCGGCCCCTCCTCTCTGCAGCAGGCTGGGCCAGTCTCCACCCGGTGAGCAGCCAGCGGCCCCACCCCCTCAGGCTCACCGTAATCAGCAGCCTGAAGGGCCCCACCAGTTTGTCCCCCAGCATTTCCTCCTGGCCCAGAGGGTAGGCCCTTCAGAGAAGTGGAGGGGCTGCCAGGCCAATGGGACAGAGGGGTTTCCTCTTGATTTTTTTGTTTTGTTTTATTGTTGTTCTTTGAAAAACTTGTAATTTATTGAGGTGAGTTTTGCTCAATCCAAATAAAACTTAATTTATTGAAGACATCATGCCGCTAACCCCTCTGAGTACCCAGGATGGGGACAGGCTGGCTGCTGGTAAGAGCTGGGTCTCCCTTGCTCCCAGAGGCTGCTACGCACGCAAAGACCAGGAGACAGTGCGAACTAGGCAAACTGGCACTTTATGGCAGAGATTCATCCCCTATTCCCAATCGCCCCAATAATATTAAAGTCCCTGCCCTCCCTAAACCCATACAGAACATCTTAAATTAAACCCAGCCCGGTACTTGGACTGTTCCTTCATTTCCGGATGGACACCCCAGATGGGTGTTGGGGAGAGCCCCGCCCGCTGTGCTACAGGCCCAAGAACAGTGGTGAAAGTGAGGGTCCAGACGTACCCAAATGGACCCCTCAGGCACTCCTTAGGTCTGAGAGGAGGGGGCCAGAAAGGGAGGGCAGCACCAGAATAACCAAGGTCCTTGGTAACCATGGCAACTGATCTCTGGTGCCCCTGGTATAAAAGGAGGGGCAGGATGTCCTAATTAGGGCATTCCAAACGATCGGGTAGTGGGGAACACAGATTCCAAATAAATAGGTAGAGAGGTGCTGCCCACCCCTCATAAATTTTCAACTCGGGGGCCATGGCTGGGTCTTCGTGGGGGTAGGAAGGAGCGCTGAATTCGCAGCTTCACAGTGCCACCGCTATCACTTGCTGAGCTGCAGGGTGTCCAGAAGGAGGCGCTTGTGAGCCGGATCCTGCACCCCAGCCTCCTCCAGGTCCTCCTCGGTGATGTCGCTGTAGGAAGGGGTAAGGAAGTCTGAGATGAGAGATAGGCGAGGTGGTCCAGACTCTGGACTCCGGAGGGCCCGTGGCTCCGTCCCAGGGCAAGCCCCACCCATCTGCCTCCAGCCCCAACCCCACCTGA